AACTCCATCTGGACTGGAGCGGCGTTACACTTTTTTTTTTAAAAAAAAAGTGGCGTTACACTGGAGATTCGCTTCCGTACAACTGATTGGTGGGCCAGGCCTTGTACTATTTAATCGAAATACAGAAGCGAATACTTGCCAGGGTGGGAATCGCACTGCACATGTGTGGTCCAGATTTCGGGAGCATCTGGACCCGGGGGCCGAATTGCATTTCCGGAGCTATATCTCTTATGAATACCGATCACAGCAAAAAAATCCTTATGCCAGTTTCGCACGAATTAGTTGGGTGGTGGAGTTGAATGATGTGGCTGATGTTTGAAATAATAAAATGGCTACTAATATATTGCTTTCAGCTTATAGATCATGAAACAGCTGAAAGTAGTCATTATTTATTTGGCATCACCCCCATTCTACTAGTTTTTCTGTGTTATTAGATGTGTGAATCCCAATAGCCAAATGGTTAGTAGTTTGAGGGTGCATGTTACTCACATTGGCGGCCAGATATTTTCAAAAGAGAAAATCAAACAGTTCAAATCTCACAAACTATATTCACAAAATCTTACCTGTTGAATCACTGTCTCTTGCAACATTTCAGCTCCGTCACATCCACAAGCAATGGCTGCATTTATAAGCACAAGTATGAGAAAACAACAGTGAATCTATTACATAGATGAACTTAAAAAATGTAGGGAAAACTACTCACTTTTGGCAAGAGATAATAAAGAAAACTACATACTTTTAGCAACAAATATTTTTTTAAAGCAGCATAATGTATAAATAGCTACCTCATAATGAAGAATTGAGCTTATAACATAAAATCAGGAAAGGATCTATACTCATCTCTCATAACATGCATGCCATAACTAAGCACTACCAAGAAAAGTGACCTGGGTATTTAAGAAGCCTGACTAGAGATAAGAAAAGTGGAAAAAGACTGTGTTATAAGTACTAGTCACTTGCAGGATAGTCTTGAACACAGTCTTGAACAACCAACAAAGGAAATTATTACTCTGAAAGTTACAGTTTCAACAAAAGTTCTTTTGCGGAGTTCAGAAAAATAGCAACATTACAATTACTAGGCAGAAGAATATAGCTAGCTGAGGTTCCAAACATGCTGAATGAGTTAACCATTTGAAATTTGAAATCACATTATTACTCATTTCATTTGATTTGTTATCTCCCAAGGATGAAGACAACTATATTTAATGATAACACAAATTATGGCTATATTAATGGAACATTATGGCTACAAGTTCATCTATCTAGCGAAGGAGCATTCATATACAAAACATAACAAGACTAGGTTACTCATACAATATGAGGAATAATGAAGACAATCACCTGGCATATAGAAACTCTTAAAAGGATGATGGCCACTAACATAGTGGATTCCACATAGTTTCTAAGATTGCATCGACTTGAGTTGAACCATATAGACACTCGAGCCCACATATATAAATATACAGGGCCGGCCCTGAGGGGGTGGCAGGGGGGCGGCCGCCCAGGGCCCCCGAAATCTAGGGGCCCCCTCCAGGGTTCGCAAGGAGCCCATGACCCAGACCATAAGGAGGCATCGACCTAGACGCACGGAGAAATCCCTGTTTTCCTTCTTTCCATCGCGAGTTCGCCGCTTCGCGACGATCCTATTCCCCCGAGGGCCCCGATCGCGAGTCGCGACGCTGATGTAGATCGCTCTCCGTCATGCGGTCGGCTGGTCTTCCTCCAGGTCCCCGGTCCCGTTGTGTTATCCTCGTTCGTGAGATGCCTCTCATGTGCAAGACGAAGCCACCCCACTTATAAGGTCATCCCTAACCTCCTCTTTCTAGTTGGTCAGATATTAGAAGGTCTCGCATATGATGCAGCAGCAGTCAGCAGTACAAAATTGTAGATAGTGTTTACAATAGCCCGTTTGTTCATATGGTGCTACTTTACAAAATTTACAATTGTATTGCATCATATCCCCCGTTTGTCTAATTAAGTAAAGGAATACACTATTTACAATTTTTATTTTATTTTGGAACAATAGACAATAATAAGTTAGGTAAAGGAATGAATCTAAAAAAACGAGATTATTATTTTGATCTTTATAGTAGGGGCCCCGGGTTGTAATTTCGCCCTGGGCCCCTGAAATATCAGGACCGGCCCTGTAAATATATCATCGGTATCCTCAGCATATCTCAGTCAGAATATCAACTCTGGCCTCTCTCCTTCATTCCCATGAGGGATCCCATGAACGTTATGCATATCAATGGTCTTTCATATCACCCATTTGGTAACACCTTGACAATTGACCCCTCTTTGTCACATTTGAATGTTATGGTAATAGTGAGACAATATGACGATACCAATAACGCCATCCACCACCTGGATGATCTCACGTTGGTCATAGTTGTGGCGGCCATCATTTATTCTGGGAGGCGCTCCAATCAAAGCTAGGCTCTGACAACCCAAATCAAACTCAAATATGTATCTTCCATGATCGCACATCCAGTAAAGTGAGTTACCAATAAGTGACCCATGAATATAAGCGCCTTGAAGCGGATATGGAGTCGGCGTTGAGATGAGATCGCTCCATATGCCAGTCTCCGAGGAGTAAACACATGCAAAGGCGGGCTGTGGACCAGTAGGGTAGGTGCTCATCGACAACAAGACCACCTTGAATGGGCTTGAGTGGCATTTTCCATGCACGTGGCCATGGTCAGCAGCAGCACAGAGCACCGCCCCATCAAGGTAGCAGCCCCCCTTGAACTTCGACGGAACGGTCAGGCAGAGCTTCTTGCCGGTGATGGGAGCAATTACAATAAGCTCTGCCCGTTGCCAGGGCATGATGAGGAGGCGACCGTGGCGGCACCCCAGCAATCGGACCCCTGTGTCACCACGACTGTCAATGCCGTGGAGTCGCAGGTCGAAGTGCTGAGGAAGGATGCGGTCGGGAGGGCCGAGGACAGGTTTGAACACGATACCATCCGCGCCGTTCTTGAAGAAACCGAGGAATGGCAGCTTCCGGTGGTGTGCACAGAAGCGGCGGTGGAACCTGGGGTCAGTGACGGTGCATCGTCACCGCCAGCAGACGGCGGAGGCATGGGGCAGGGAGGTGGGTTGCAGCGGGAGACGGAGGAGGATCTCCCACAGGAGATCATCATCCTCAAGCGGCGAGGACAGCGCCTCCGGCGAGCGTCCACGGCCGCGGCGACGACTGCGGCGGGTCACTCCGGCAGCCTCCTCACCCGCGTGGACATGGGGACGGAGGCGCGTGCTGCGCCGGAGAGCCACTCCGTCGCTCGCGTGAACCTGGGGACGGAGGCAGTGGGCCACTCCGTCGCCGTTGTCACTCAAGTGGATCTGGGGATGGGGATGGAGGCGTGGGCTGCGGCGGCGGGCCACTCCTTGGCCCGCCTCACTCGCGGGGCTATTTGGATGGAGGCGCGTGCGCGTGCTACGGCGTCCGGCGTCCTCGGCCGCGCTCATCTCGCCGGCGGCAAGACCTAGCTAGCTTTTTTAGTCGGGCAGAGGAAGACGGCCGGGGCGCACTGATGAGGAGCAGCAGTGCAGTGGCTGGTTCACTCCATCTCCACCGTTGTTGCATCGTTTGGTTGGGCCGCTGACCGACCAAACTAAAGGTAAGTGGTATTGGGCCCCCATTCGTCCGTCCTGCTCTCTCTCTCTCTCTCTGTGTGTGTGTGTCGACTGCTATGAACTAAAAAAATACGAACATTCTTGATTAATTAATTACTTAATTAATAAAATAAAACGAAGCAGGCTGTTCCAAACCAACAAGCAGTTCAAGTTTCAGTATTAATGAGTTGATTCAATCGGGTGCTAGCAAGATTGATTTATTTAACACACTGGATTGATGAGGTGGCATCTATGCATGTTGAGATAAATAGAGGAACGCGGATTAACTACTTTCACTATATGGCTACTAGGAGGTAGTAAAGACCACATCGCATTTCACGGGTTGCGAGATTTAGGCATCGATATTAAAACTGATGTCGTACATCACTTTGGGCACACTACTTTGAAGGCTCCGTCTCCTACCTCTGTGTATTACACCGAGTATGAGTAGATCCACGGGAAGAAGGAGTGGTAACTGAATTTCTGATCATTCCCAAGCCTAGTGGTATCTATGCATGCTCCCGAGTTGGCGGCCAACATTTTTGAGCAAAGTACATATGCAAACGCTCATACATATGTACAGATTGTTGTCAATTGTGTTGTGTCTGGCTACACTATACCAAAGTGCTCTCATGGTAGCTCCATTATATACCATCCCGATGTGGGATGGACGTATTTACATGGGCCATCAATATGAAGATGGCATTGGTGGGTGCCATCAAAGTTAGTGATATGTTGAGTAAGTGATTTCATCCTTCTCAACAATTCATGTGTATATATGTCATTTTCTAGCCTCTCAAATAAATCTACACTTGTACTTACCATATAGACCTTCCTCACTTGTTTTTTCTCCAGCCATAATGGTTTTGACACAGTTTGCAAATGGCCCTAAACAAGGTTGGAGATTGGCCCTGGGCACCCAGAGTGCAGCCTAGTCAAAGGAATGAGGCCCAAAGCCTGATAGGCTGGCTCACCATAGACCAGTCGTACCAATCCATAGATCCAGAGAGCAACTAACTTGCCGTGGACCTCAACGGTCACTTTGGTGCCCTAGAGCATGCCAAGTGGTGCTTCTAGCTATAGCCACATGTCGCGTGTTGTGTGCTTCCTCTGAATTTGATTTATTTTTATTTTTCTATATGCATTTTCGGGGTTCAGATGGTTTTTTTCCTAGTTTTTTGGCCTTTTTTTGCCCGATTTTTGTTACAGATTTTATTTCACGAAAAAATGTGTGCTTCCATGAGAGACACAAATTTGCTTATTGTGGAGGCACAGATATGCTTCCGTGAGAAGTACAGTTGTGCTTCTCGCAAAGGGAAAAAAGTTTTTGCTTCAACAAGCACAGATTTGCTTCTCGTGGAGGCACAAATTTGCTTACACGGGAAGCACTGTTGTGCTTCTTGAAAAGGGAAAAAAATGTATTTCCTCGAGAAGTATAGATTGGCTTCTCGTGAAGGCATAGACTTGCTTCCATGAGAAGCATATCTTAGCTTCACGAAAAGGGAAGAAAATCCGTGTTTCCATCAGAAGTAAAGATTTGCTTCTCGTGGAGGCACATGTTTGTTTTCGCGAGTGCTTCTCGGGAAAAAGAAACTATCCTTCCGCAAGAAGAACATATTTGCTTCTCGTAGATGCATATTTGCTTTCGCGAGAAGCACAACTGTGCTTCTCAGAAAAAGAAATTGTCCTTCCATAAGAATCGCATATTTGCTTCTCGTAGACACATATTTGCTTTCATGAGAACCACAATTGTGCTTCTCGAAAATAGAAAATAAAATTGTGCTTTGATGAACTATGCTTCTCGGCATAGTCTGCAGCTTACGAGGGATCATTTGGCATCGCACAAGGGCACACTTCTCTTCCAAGCCAACATTGCATGGATGGGTCATGATCACATTGTATTGACGGAGATGTCATGTTTTTCAAACCAAAACTGAGAAGCACACTCAACACGCACCTTTTGGTGATACTTGGGCTGAACTTGCAATGGTTAGAGTGATGGGAGCTGCCAAGCGCAATCATGGATATAAGCAACAGATAACAAAAACCAACTTGCATTAATACTAGGGTATTCAAAAGCATCTTGCTAACATCAGAAACTTAGCTAGAGCAAGAAGGCATACGCATTCAGTAAGTTCCTTCAGATAACATTTTCTTTAACGCTGGTGACCACACTGATCCACGACAAACTCAGTGAGAACAAAAACGGCAGGTGCCCTTACTTCATCTGGACAACACAAAAGCATTATCTTGCAAGTAACCTAATACAGATAAATATAATACAACCTCCATCTCAAATTGTCTAGATACATCCTTATGTAGAGAAATCTAAGACACTTAATGTAGGACTGAGGGAGTATCTAAAAGAAGCACTAGAGTACTCATGATCAGTTCAGCATTATAAAGAAGAGCCATACCATATCCCCCTTGAAAAAAGGAGAGGTAGATCTCCTATGAATACTGATGACAACAAAATAAATCCTTCAATTTTTCCACATGAATTTGTTGGGTGGAGGAGATGAACACACGACTGATGCTTGTAGTAACAAAATGGCTACTAATTTGTTAGTGTTGTTGCTTTTTGCAGTGAATATTCTTGAAATCAGTATAATGTATACATAGCGACCTCAAATGAAGAATTTAGCTGTCTCCAAAAAAAGAATTTAGCTTATAAGGAAGGAAGGCAGAGTCTAGAATTTATGTCATGTAAACGTATCCCTCCTCATGTGAAGAAGATAAAAAAAATGCCAAAACTCATAAACACTTCCAACAAAAGTCATCTTGAGTATTTAAGGATCCTGATTAGAGATAACTAACGCGATAAAAGGTGTGTTAAAAATGTACAAGTCACTTGTAGAACAGTGTTGAACAAGTGACAAAGAAAACTATTATTCCGGAAGGTACGGTTCAACCAAAGTTCTTTTAGGGAGTTAAGAGCAACAGCAAGATTTACAATATCGGGTAGAAGAATATAGCTAGCTGAGGTTCCAAACATGCCAAATGAGTTAATCATTTGACATTTGATTTTACATTATAACTAATTTCATTTGATATTTGACTTGTTACCTCACCAGGATGAAGGCAACTACTCCCTCCGTCCCATAATATAAGACATTTTTCAACCTAACATAGCTTGCAAAAACGTCTTATATTGTGGGACGGATTGAGTATATTCGATGATAACACAAAATACGACTGTATTAAATGAAACAATATGGCTATCTATAAGTTCATTAATCTAGCAAAGCTATTTGAGCATCCATGTACGAAACATAACAAGATTAGGTTACTCCTAGTGTATGAGGAATAAGACCGAACAATCACCTGGCTTATAGAAACTCTCGAAAGAATGAAAGTGATTTTTTGGGGGCATTTCACAAAGTTTTCTAGATTACATCAACTTTAGTTGAACCATATAGACACCTCGTCCATGTATACAAGTATTCCATCAGTATCCTCAGCATATCCCAGTATAAATATTAACCTTGCCTTCTTTCCTTCAATCTGAGCAGGTAACCCATGAATGTTATGCATTTCAATGGTCTGCCACAAAAACCATTTTCTAACACTCTAGGAATTGACCTCCTTTTGCCACATTTGAATGGTATGGCCATTATGAGACAATATGGCAAGACCAACAGCACCATCCACAGCCTGAATGATCTGATGGCTGCCATTGTGGTAGCAGACATCATTTGTAATGGGAGGCGCTCTGATCACAGCTAGGCTCCGCCCATCCAAATCAAACTTAAGTATGTAATCTCCACCTCTGCACAGCCAGTAAAGTGCATTACCAATAAGTGAACCATAACTATCAGTATGACAAAACTTAGGTGGAGTCGGTGTTGAGATGGGGCCACTCCATACACCGGTCTCTGAGGAGAAAACATGTGCAAAGGTGGGATGTGGACCTCTATTGCTCATGGACAGCAGGACCACCTTGAATGGGCTCGAGTGGCAGCTTCTGTGCACGTGGTCATGGTTAGCAGCAGCGCAGAGCACCGTCCCGGTGATGAAGCTGTCCCTTTTCAACTTGGGTGGAAAGGGCACACAGAGCACCGTCCCGGTGATGAAGCTATCCCTTTTCAACTTGGGTGGAAAGGGCACACAAAGCACCGTCCCGGTTATGGGTGCAATGACAATAAGCACTTTGCGCAGAAAGTTTTTGACGAGGACGCGGCCGTGGCGGCACCCGAGCAGTCGGGCCGCCAACCCCGTGACACCGCAAATGCTGTGGAGTCGCAGCTGGAAACGCCGACCGAGGACATGGTTAGGAGGGTCCAGGACAGGTTTGAACACGATACCATCCACGCCTTCCACGAAGAAACCGAGGAGTGGGGGCTTCCGGTGGTGCTGGCAGAAGCGGCGGTGGAACCTGGGGTCTGTGACGGCGCATCGCCAGCGCTTGCAGACGGCAGGGGCGCGTGGAAGGGAGGAGGGCTCCGGCAGGAGACGGAGGAGGATCTCCCACAGGAGGTCGTCGTCCTCAAGCGGCGAGGACAGCGCCGCAGGCGAGCAGCCGCGGCAGCGGCGACGACGACTGCGGAGGGTCAGTCCGAATGTCTCCTCACCCACGTGGACCTGGGGACGGAGCAGTGCGCTGCGCCGTCGAGCCACTCCGGCTACCTCCTCGCTCGCGTGGGTCTGGGGATGGAGGCGGTGGGCCACTCCGTCGCCGTCAACACCGGCGTGGATCTGGGGATGGGGACGGGGATGGAGCGGCATGCTGCGACGGTGGCCCGCCTCACTCTCGTGGGTATGTGGATGTAGGCGCATGCACGTGCTATGGCGGCAGGCATCCTCGGCCGCGCTCATCTCGCCGGCGGTGGCGGCGGCAAGACCTAGCTTTTTAGCGAGGCAGAGGTAGTAGTGGT